GTTTTGAAAATGATGATGGCAACAAATGTACAAATATGCTTGACAGGATGGATGGATGGATGGATTGTGATGAGCTGTACAAGCCCCTCAATAAAATAATTTAATAAATAAAAGAAAATAGAAACTAAATAAAAATATCACCAAAAGTATCCCATCCATTCAAACAAACACACACACACACACACACACACACACACACACACACACACACACACACACGTTGCTTTATATAATGCTTAATCTCAATACAATTTACCATGAAATCGTTTACATCACTGCTCCAAAGTATTTGACCTACCACCCTCTTTTCGGGGGCGGGAAGGGGGGTGAGAGCAGGGTATTACTCAGCACTCCCCTGGCAATTAAGAATTTTTGTGCTATAGCCCATAATCTACAATAAAGTATAGTTATCCAGGGAGGGAGGGGAGGAAAAAAAAAAAAGAAGTGAATAGAAATATTTTGACATTTCAGATTACAGAATAACTTTCTGACTCACTGACAGGCCTATTTTTTTAAAATAACAATTCTTGTAATGATAAATTACTTTCAATGTAAATCTCCATGAGATGAATAAAAAATGTTCTGCCAGTTTAAAAAAAAAAAAGTATAGTTATCTGCTTGTGCAGTCCACCTGGGTTAATCCAGCCTTCCCGGGGGCAATCACTCCCACTTTAGGAAATACTGGTCTAGAACATACATTAAAATCACGTAGGCGTATCAACTATTCTAGTTCTATTAAAGGCCAAGCTGCAACTAATTACAGATCACAGATTAATGGGGTACTTATTACTTCTAATGAAATCAGGAAGCTATTTACAAAGTACAGCTTTAAAAGTCTAAAAGTTCTTATAAGATATTACATCCTAATAAATTGATTATCAGTGCCACTATGGCTTCAACTCCAAGTCTGACTTTTAACCACAAAGTTACAAAATAAATGGTTATGGAAAATTCTTACCACTATTTATGAATGTCAGGTCAAATATTGTTTCAATCTGACATGCCAGAGGGAAACAAAGATAAGAAATTAGTTAATTTCCAGTAATATTTCTTGTAAATCAATTCAAAAAATAGGAAATCTGAAAAAGTCTCTCAGTATTGTACAGAGATATCAGGAACCTAGTGATTTTTTAAAATTTCATTATACTCAACGATAAGATATTTCCTTTTAAAACATGGATATCAAAAAATATCTATAATAATAATAATAAAATATGGACCCCGAGCTATTTACTGCTAGAGAAGAGACATAAAAGAGGTCCCCACTGGGTTTCTGAAACACTTTAGTGGAGAAAATTCTAAGTTTGGTTGGTAAAAGAATTATTTCAATGAATAAACTACAGGAAACTATCATTTTTATCTGCCTTCAACAGCAAGGTGGTGTGCAGTGGGTTACACATTGGACTGCTAACTGCAAGGTTAGCAGTTCGACTCCACCGGTCACTCAAAGGGAGAAAGACGAGG